TCCTTAATAAAATTATTTCCCATTAAATCATATGATATCTCCTTAACATTCTTTTTATAAATTATTTTATATTTTTAAATAGGATTACCATAAAAGTGAACAGAACAAAAATTAACAAAAATAACATATGTAAGTAAGGTTTTGAATATGTGAAAGGTAAATTATTTTTTAAAAATAATAAAAATAATATTGATAAATAACTTTTAAAAATTATATACTTCTTTAAATAATTTTATAAAAGTTAGATGAATTGAAGTTTACCTTAATATTAGTTATAACTTTTGCTATGTTTATTTACTTTTAACGTGAATCCAAAGCATCTAAATTTTTTTTCTGACTACTTATTAAAATTTAACCTTTTGCATGGTTTTACCGCCAAGAATACATGGGATTGATTTTTAATAAATAAATTTTATGGTGCTATGAAGATTAAAAAGATATTTTATTTCTTTTCACATAAAATAATATCACTGATATTATATAAAATATGTATAATAGATAGGGACTGTCAGTAATTCATTGTATAAAAATAAAAATATTTTTTAATTTTTAAAATATTAAAATAATCATAATCCCTTTCAAATTTAAGAACACTGCAAATAACATCCTTTTTAATAATTGACTAATTAGGATGCATTAATGGTTGAAAGAAAAGTCCGTTAAAACTGTACTAAAATTTTCTTTGTTTTTCTGTCTTTGCCGCAAGTCATCATTTGATTTGTTGTGGGTTCTACACTAAACCCAGAATCTTTGTTTTTCCGTGCTCTTCGGAGTTTTTCTTTAGTTCTCCACTACAAATAAATATATAGAATTGTCTACTTCTTTATAAGCAACTCACATGTTCCTACCACTTATTTATAGTCAAAACTCAAAAACTATAGAAATCAGAAACTTCCTACCATTATCATCTACTAACCCACTTTCATTCATTAGATTTTGACATGAAAATAAAGTTTCATTTTGATATATTATTTTAAATTTTTGTTAGACTGAATTTAAGCTTCCATAAATAAAAAATTATTATAAAAAATATACAGTTATTATATTAAAATTATAAAAATATAATAAATACTTTTTTAATAAAATTTTATTATTAATAACTATTTATTCTTAATTCTGTGGGTTAAGGTTAATAAAATTTTATTATTTTTTTCTTTTATAAATTTTTAATACGTTGTTAATATAAAGTTTATGCAGTTAATTAGCTAAAATATCTTTTTAATAATCTCTAAAATATTTATTATAAATTTTATAATTTTTTATTTATATAACAATTTATAAATTTTATAATTTAAAAAGAAAAAAGATAAACAAGAATATGACGAAGGGTCCACCACTTCCTACCTACAACAACTTTCCACTACCCCTTCTTCCACGTTTCAAGGATCTCATTCGCACACATGCCAAAGCCAGTTGATATTACTTCCTATAAGTTATGTTATTTTACACATTTGGTGGCATTTCAATTAAAGCCAATATTAAAAGAAAAAGCTTGATCCATTTATTTCATAAGGAGAAAGAAATTTAAATGGTATTATTAATTGGTATGGTATTATTAATTGGTATTACTAACATTAATCTCTTGAGAGTTCTTAATTAATATAAGTAGTGCTACGTCTCACATGTTGTTATGAACATAAACATGTGGTGTGGAGGTAGAGTTTAAAAAAGAATGGTCCAAAAGATGCTGAGGTTCTGCGTGAGAAAAGTTGCTTATTAATGATGCATTGCACATATTGAAATTGCTATAAATGTCTCAACCAATTTATCATCAATACCCTACCTATCACTCTTCAAAAGATGAACCACTTTCAAATTTCTAGTTGTATATAATACTCGCATAAATTGAAAACGGTTCATTTGTCCTTTTCTATTTTGCACTTTCAACGGTGCATGCTTATCTAGGCCATGCGGTTCACCTCAAAAAGCACTCTCTTCATTTTACATTTAAGCTTAAATATAAATATGTATATATTTCCCTGTACTCTGTATTGGAGCCTTTGGAGGCAAATTATAGATACATTTTGACTTTTGAGACATCATATGAGAATTGAATTGTGCTCTTCATGAGGTCCACTCAACTACTAAATATATATATCTACCTATAATTTCATCCGAAGCAACCTTCAAACTGAATAATTTCTTTTGTCACCTCTAAAAATTACCTTACTGACAAAAATTATATCTCCCTATAATTTAATCTTTTCAATTTTTACATCATAATCTACTAAAATTTTTCGTTTTAATATTACATTTCCGAAAACAATTCCTGTTTTTATTGTCTGATTTTATTTATTTACATAAAGTTTAAAATTAACCATTAACTTTTTATTAATAAAAAAATTTCACTATAAAAATTTTATAATATATATCTTTATTAATGCTAATTTTATTCACTATTTATTTAATAAATTTAAATACTATCAATATTTTGCCTTAAGACTCAAAAATAGTAAAAACATACATATACCTATAATTTAAACCTTATGTGATGCACAAATTTTTTTAATATAAAATTATTAATCTTGTATATATTTATTATTTTTAATAAAATAAATTTAAAAAATTAAAAAGTGTATACTCTTCTCAAATTTATTTTATTTAATTATGGGTATTTTAATAATGCGTATATATACTCTATGTTCCAAAAATTATTATTAAATTGTAAATATTTAAAAAATTTAAATAGCAACTGCAAGTGTTATAATATAAAAAATAAGGAAAGAGTATAAATGTGAATTTTTAAATTTATTTATTAGTTTATAAAAATAAAATATGTAAAAATTATAAAATAATATAATATATAGATAAATAATTTTTAATATTTTAAAAATAAAAAATAGCATATATGGTATGCGAATATGAAGTAACAAGTGAATGAATGGTGCAATATGTAATATTTTTAAATCTTGTACATATCACTGTAATACAACATGAAAGATTAAGATAATAATAAAAGTCACTATTTAATTATAAGCTTCAGTTTTAATGTATAATATATATTAGAATCGTTATTCTTAAACATAACTATTAATTATAAATTTTTTTCAAATTTTTTATATTTAATTTATAATTATTTTTCAAACTTATGCTATTTCAGTAGTTTGATTAGTATTAATATTGACACCTTCCTCTTTTACTGTTGAACTTCGTTCATCTATAATTAAATTTTCTGTGACAAATTGATCAAAAGTCTATCTTAACAATGTTGCATTCTAATAAAATTATGTATAATGTAACATGAAATTGGAATTAATATTTATCTTCTATTTGGATAATTTGGCATCAACTTCAAAATTAAAAATCATGTAAATAATATTTTTATCTTTAAAATGGTGCAAGATAGCCTTACATATTCGAAAATCGAAAGTTAATAAGATAAATTTGACTTATAAACAATAAAAATAATTAAATAACATAAAAAGTGTTAAGAAAATAAAAAATATTATTATTTAAAAAGTTAAAGGAAAAATAATACCTCTACTGATTTTGAAAAATTATTTTTAGAATTTAAAGCTTCTAAAAATATTCTTGCATCATATAACGTCACTTCCCACCCAGAATAAACAAATATTATAAATTAGCATATCAAAATCACACGACACCAAAACATTTTATGTTACCACAGCTTTCCTCCCGTGAAAAGTATTTTGTTTAAAAGATGAATGATGATTCAATAATAAAAATTATAATATTTATGAAAATTTCTAAATATATTTTTGCAACTTAGAGGATGGTATCTATATTATACAAAAATTGAAAAATCCATATGAAGAGATATAAAAAATAATAATGTCCATCAAATTTTTAATGATAAAAATTATATAAAATTTTAAAAAAAATAAAAAATAGAGACAAAAAATATATAAACAAGCTTGCAAGAATAGTAAAAATAAAAAATTTATCACTGTATTTCAATAAAAATAAAAAAATTATGAAAAAAAAAAGAAAAAAGAAGAAAAGAAAGAGGAACAAATGTGAAAAAGAAATATGAAACAAAATAAAGGAGTTACTTATGACAAACAGTACCTAAACAAGAAACACAAAGAGAAACGTACAATTGAGTGAAAAAATTCAACTGTAAAGCAAAACTGATAAATATATAAATATAATTAAAATTGAATAATATTTATGACGATACCATTACATTTTATTCTTCAGATTTTTAAGTTTTCCTATTTTCAAAGATAAGTTTAGAAACAAATGTTTTTCATTTTTAGTTAGATTTTAAAAATATTTTCTAAAATTTAACTAAACATATTTTCTCTTCTATTTTTTGATTTCATTGAAAATAAAAACCAAACACAGTGTTATTTTTTCATTTCTAAAAATTAAAGTGCATGTCTATCTATAATTTAATTTTTTCAATCTTACATCGTAATTATTTGGAGGACAAGTGTACCCATCGAGAAGTAATAAAGGGTTCTTAAATTAAGTTCTTGAAATATCGTCCCACAAGGATTGATTTCCAATTACTAAGAATTTCCTAATTTAATTATTTAAGCTTCAAAGATACGAGATTAGTTAAAAACAAGAATTTATAAAATCAATTATAAGACTAAGAGTAAGAAATACAATGCACGTCTTGGTTAAATTTATCGGAGAGAAACCTAGGACATGTGAATTTTTCGATTCAATCCTTTATGTTATTTTTTTGTTTAACTCTAAATCCGATTTCTTTGTGATTACCAATCATTCATACGAATACTATTAATACCTAATGGTCATGCAACATTAATATTCTTTTATCTAAATTAACATCTCCAATGGTCATGCAAGACATCATTTTGAGAAAGCTTAAAGAACCTGTGAACTTGTTAATTTAATAACGATTAAAAGAGAAAGATTAGTTTGGTTCACCTAATCCTTTGTCTCGTTTTACCCTATAGATCTATTAATTAACCGAGGTACGGTCGCCTGACGATATAATTAATTATGATTAAGAGAGAAGTGCAATAAGATAAAATCTAATCACAGAACGGAATTCAAATTTAGATTCAAACGTCAAAACCTCATAAATTCATGAACAATAGTTTCTATAGCCCTAACTATGGACTTAGTTACTCATACTAAAGAAAAGAACTAAAATAATCATAAATAAAGTCATAAAGAAAAGTAAACTAGAATGAGATGAGTTCTCGGTCTTCAAATAGGATTGCTCGAAGCTTTAAGTCCCGCCAAACATATGTCAAGGATTCTGTGCACAAGAAAGGAGATGAGAAGTGTCAAAACGGTCCTCTTTTACAATGCTTGAGATCTCCTTTTTAATAGGGTTTGAAAACCCTAAAGACTCTTCATAATTGGACTTCCAACAGATAAGCACGGCAGTGCAAGGCCTTGAGCACGACCGTACATGGGCTCAAAGCACCCCGTGCTTGTTGGAAGGGTCTGGGCATTCTGACTGCTGCGAAATTCTAATCTTCTATCAATTTGGGCATAAAAACGCACCCAAAGTATACTTACGACCTCTTTATGCCAAACTGTATAATTAATATATAAATTAGTGTAAACACCAAATAAAATAAAGGTCAAATATAAATATATGAATTGTAAAATATGGCCTAATTACAGACTTATCAGCAATCTACTAAATTTTTTTATTTTTATATTACATTTGTTAAAAATGTCATATTTAAATTATAATAATTTTAAAAATTATCTTAAATAATTTTAAGAGTAATTTTTCTCATTACATCAGGTGAATTTTTTTTTTTTTTTGCATTCTTCGTATCTTCTAATTCAATTTTAATTTTAATTTATAATTTATTTATCATTTTAAAAAACTTATTTCTTTAATTTAGTCATATTCCATATCATAAACTATTTATAATTAATAATAATAAAAATTCAGCTTTTAAATTTCTAATATTTATTAAATTTTAAAATTATCATACAATTTATCTTTAATTTTTATTTTAATTGAATGATAGCCAATTCTATAAAAAGACTTACCAGGGTATAAAGTGTGAAGGACAAGTGCTCGAGTCAGAGTCTCACAAACTTAGCTACAGAAAAGCTTTGAAATTTTGAAAGCTTTTGCTTAATTTCCTCCATTTCTCATTGGAAACTCGGAATAGAGAGCAAGTTACAAAGTAAGAGAAATAGAAAATACAAGGCGACTACGCAATACACAAGACCACCTTCCTATAGATTTCATATGAGCAAGAATTTAATTTTTTTTTTTACTAATTGCTAATGAAATCATTGATAATGGTGATCACTAAGTAATCCAACTCAACTAGTAGCTGTTATGGAATGGCTTGTAAGTTTGAAGATCAACAATAACTCCAGCTACAGAACCTGCTGCAGCTGCTATTGTAATTATGAGGCAAGCAACACTAAGCATTTGTAGGCATATCCACTTTAAGCTCCACTTTGGTATTTTCTTTTGTACTATATACATCTCCACAGGGAAATACACAGTAAGAGGCCAAAATCCAATAGCTCCAATAAGCCCCACAATGTCATTGAAGAATGGTAGGAGCATGGATATTATAGTGGTTATGATCACAAAAATTGTCCTCCAAACCAATCTGAAGAAGTTGAGTCTAAAGGGTTTGAAACCAGGGATTGGCACTAAAATGTCTTTGTTCACAAAATCACTATTTGGGTATCTTTCGGCTGCTACTTTTTCAACAAATGAGAAAAGGGGTTGGCAGTAAACTTGGTATGCACCAACAAGGTGAATTACAATTGCAGCATTGGCTATGTCAAGGAGCCAAAATGGGTTATAGAAGCCAAAACCAGTGAGAAGGTTTCCAGGGCTTGCGTCTCCAAAAGCAGCATAGCCGAAACAACCACAAAGCATGTAGAAAAGGGTTGTCACTACAACACTGATAAAAGTAGCCTTCTTCATTGTTTTTGACTCTGATGGAGGGGCTTTAATTGTATCCTGTTTCATAACATAATCACCATTTTAGTTGAGACTTTAATTTAAATTAATAATATAGGGTCATGTGAGTGTCACAAAAAGTTTAGTAAAATTAATTGTACCTGAATTTCTATAAGGATCATTGAGTAGGAGTAGGCAAATGCTATGTTTCCAAGAGCTTGAAAGCTTCTCCAAACCTTTTGGGTTTGTGTCACAGTTCCAATACTTATACCAGTTAGGCTTCCTCTAACTCTTCTGTTTTCTGTTACGTGTCCAATTCATGTCAAATTTCTGCCCAGTTATTTAATTCTCAAACAAAGAAATAATAATAATAATAATAATAATAGTAAAATTTAAATAACTTCAATTCATGTTAACTTCACTTCTTACGGCTAAATTTAAATAATTAATAATAATAAAATTTTATTAAAAAATCTTTAATTTTTAATATAAAAAATATTTTATTTTCTAATAAAAAGATATTATTTTTGGATGCTTAAAAGATATCATACCTATAACTTTGCCAATACCAAGGCCAAGCCCAATAGTTGAGTACGTGAAGGACATAACAGCAGCTACAATAGAGAGCCACCATAACTCATGGAAGTCTGGAATTTGGGAGAAAATAATTTCCGCAATACCAAAAGAAATCATGTAAACATTGCTATTCATATGGCATGGATTTTTCCCTCCGCTACTATGAAAACAATTAGACCTTTTAATTGCCCTGTTCGATCAAAAACCCAAAACAGCCCAATCAGCACATTTTCCTTGCACTTCTTGCACACAACAATATTACCAAGAATTTCAAAACTCACATCATGCTTATAGAAGCTGCTATAGTGTACCCAATTCCAACTCCAAAAAGATTTGCATACTGAACCAACCCACAGAACTTGACCTTAACACCACCTGCACAAACATATCCACAAAATTACCCAAGATTGAAATTTTGAAAACATAAGCACCCAAATTTTTTTTACTAAAAACAATTTTCATTTGTTTAGCATACATACCAAGGTACGATCTAACAGCATCCGTGTAAGTGTAGTTTCTCTTGCCACTAACTTGGTCACCAGAACGGTAACAAGCAGAGAGAAGAGTGGAGGCATAGTAGGTGACAAAAGAGAAGAGAACCATAACAGAAGGACCAGCTACCCAACCAAGCTGAGCTATGGCCCATGCCAAAGACAACACCCCAGAACCAATAACAGCGGTTATTATGTGAGCACTTGCAGTCCACACAGTGCCTGTTTTCTCAAACACAAAGTGGGAGTGTCACTAAAGAGTAATATTCAACGACAAGTAACAACAAAACATTATTTTATTAAATAAAGTCGATTATCAAAAACTTAATAATAATAAAATCATATCTAAATAAGTACATATTCTGGTTAAATGTGTATGAAAAAAAATCATTATTTTTTAACAATTTTATAAGTAAACAAAACTATAAGTATTGCTAAACATGAAATGAATTTGGAGTGAACTTTAATGTTTAGCGGATAATTGATTACCAGTTCGTTTGAGGCGTCCATCGTCATCATAGCACTTGGAACCTCCCTGTGGAATCATGTCAACGGAGATTTCAAATGATTGTTGATGATTCTTGCTGCCACCGTTCTCAGTCATCGTGTTATGGCACAAAGCGTGTGAGTGTGAGAGAGAGAGAGACCAACCCAAGTTAGGCTTCAGAGTCAGCACTCAAATTCTAATATCCCAGTCTCGGATGTTGCTCGTGCACACTGTTGTGTAGGATTGTCAATTATGATCAATCATATAACATGTATAAAATAAAAGATGTTTTGAAATTATGCAGCAGAAAAAACAAGATGGGTGTTGCTCAAGTTTATGAATAGATAGACATAAGGGTTGTTATGTGGCGGTGACTTTTGTGAGAAAGTTTAACAAAAAATTTCTCGTGTTCTGCCACAAGTTGAGTTTCACACACACACCCCTTTAGTGAGTCTCAGAAAAGAGAAACTGGTGAGTTTATGTGATGTGAGGGTCTTCAGAGTTGAGACAACGTTTTCCAAGTTGTGAAGAAATTGATTTAGGGGTGGTGCAAGGAACAAGGTGTGTGTGGGGTATAAATAGGTGTTGGGACGAAGAGAGTGGCGTTACCACTAGGAAGAAGAAATATTTGGACTAATGGGTGCAGTTGCAGCCCCACATGCCACGCGATACCATAGAGTTCAAAAAGTGATTATTGGGAAATATATTCAGTCAAATTTGACCATTTTCAACGGGTTGTTATGTGAATACAAAATTAAATTAGGTATCTTGGTAGTAAACCTTTTTTCTCAAAATTATATTAATTCATATTTATAACTTTGTTGGTAATTTTTAATATAAATTAAATTAATTCCTAAGATTTGACATGAGAGAGGTAGATTCTACACGTAAAGTGACGTGTTGGCTAGCTCCTCGATTTAGACACTCTTCTGACGCAAACCGTGTGTGGCTCCCCTCACCGGCCACTGTGCTAACTTTGTATTGAATATGAAAAATTTCGCTTACAACTATTTTGGCCACTTTCCTACCTTCTCAACTCGGTTTCATTCTCATTTTGTGTTTTTTTTTTCTTTTATTCTCTTCTTTTGGGGATATTGTTTCGGTTTTGTAATTTTAAATATATAATAGATACAATATTATATATAATTTATTTTTTAAAATATTCTTGGAAATTGAAAAGGACATAAATAAAGTGTCTTGCTTCAAATGTTATAAAATTAATTTTTTAATGACCATTATCGCCTAATTAATGAAACTATGCCTATCTTAGGCTACTGCTGAACACAAAGTAGAAAAGCTTAATTTGGACACTACATGATAGTTTGTAACAAGTAACTGCTGCTTGTGTTGTGCCTCCGTGAGTCTGTGTACTAGGTTAATAAATACTTTTATCTTCCTTAATATAAGGTTATCGTATGAAATATTCTATTCCATTTGATCCTATTTTAAACATTTCAAATCATTTGATAAAATTAGTATCAGTGTCTATTTCATTCTATCCTTTTGTCAATTCAAATATAGCCTTAGATTACATTATTATTATTATTATTATTCCTTCGGTCTCCACATATAGTTTTGACAAAGACATTTTTTTGTTTCCTTTAATGTATTACCAAGAAAATAATATAATAATACATCGAATTATTAGTGAAAAATTGATACTAATTACACTCATGAAAGAATTGATGTCTAATGACACATGTAGAGCTTAGATGCAAACTTATCTAAGCCTTTTTCACTTTTCTTTACTGAAAAGTTTCTATCAAATGTTTCAAACACAATGCAACTGTACCAAAAGCCAAAACCAATAATAATTGCTTCACAAATTAACTGAAATTGAAGGTTGACAACTCTCATACCTTCAGCTTCAGGGCTCTCTCTCTTTCTTATGCTTCGCTGTTTCAGAACTTTACTTTAAATTAGATGCAATATAAATAGCATAGCAAATTGCAACAGCCGCAGCTATATATACACTAATATTTTTGCTAGAATAGAATAGAGGCTACGGTATTACTTAGATACGTAGCTGGTGTGCTTCTCTTGAACTACACTATCTACCTTATATAGTGGAACACAATGTGTTATAGAGCCTACAAAATATTATTATCTATCTCTTTAAAGGATCACCCTAGAAAAAAAATTCTCGTGTGCAGAGCTATCATCCACCCTTACTGAATGAGAATAAGGTTCCTTTATTATTCATTATCAGAATTGAATGAATTGCCTAAAAAAGTGATACACAGCAAGCATATTTATCAATTATTTCAGTCAAAATTGTTTCTTTTTTTTTTTTTTCAACATTGTGGTCTTAAAAGAGTCAATAAATAAGGGCTAATGGTTCTCCTCAATAGGAAAATACATACTGAAACTCCCATCATTGGTGGACATGGGGCATCTAATTCTTATCTTCAGGTCCCAATAACTGAGGAAAGAAAGGTTATTAGCGAAAGTTTCTTGGCAGTATCTTTAAAGATGTCTATAATTTCGTCTGACTAATACCCAATTTAATTTAATTTACTATTACTATATCATCTTTTCTTCTTTAATTGGCTGATTAAGAGAGAATCAATCCCTTAGCAACTGTGAACTTCAAATGTACCATTACTAACCACTTTAAATATACCAATCTATAAAATATAAGGGCATAACTCAGTATTTTTACACAAATATAATAAAAACAGAAAAGACTTTTATGAGGTACTTGAAAATGTTTTCAATTATATTCGACAAGTTCCATTATTTGAATATAAAAATCAATCTAATACATACATATATATATATATATATATATATATATATAATAAATATAGAAATACAGCCCATAAATAGAAGAAACAACATTTTTATAATAAACAATTATCGTTTATTAATAAATAAAAATTATCAAAATTTAAAACTACCTTCTTAATGTCTAAAATAAATCCAACTATTAGTGTAGATATTATAAATTTGTATTAACAGTACGATGTATTATATTAATAATTTTGTTAAAATAAAATACTGATAGATAGTATATATCATCAATGTTGATACACACTTAAATTTTGGTTAGACAAAAGTTACATTAATAAAAATAATTTTAACACTTGAAAGTTTATTTCTTAACAAATAACCAATTTTTGGTAATATTTAATATCCCATTTTAATGTTTGAAAAGTATTTTCCTATATTCTAGAATCCACTACTAGAAACATGCAAAATATAGACAAATTTTACAGATAGATTTTTTTTGTCTGTATTATAGACAAAAAAATCATTTTTTTTTATTTTTTAAAAAAATTGTTTGTAAATTTGTCTATAAAAGAGACATAAAAATTTATCTATAAATTTCATCTGTAAATAGCTGGCTATTTGGAGTATCACATTAGAGACAAAAATAATAGACAAGATTTTTTGTTGGTAATTTAAAATTGAAGCGAGAATTTTTGAAAGAAAATTATAAACAGAAAAATTTGTTTGTAATTTGAATTTTGTTTTACTCTTCATATAGCTTGTTACAAATGATTTTTTTTTTATCTATAACTACATTTAGTGGATTTACAAACAGATTTAACATTCCATTTTATTAAACCAATTACAGACAGAAAAATTCATTTGTAATGTGTGAAACATCAAAACTGTGCCTTCTCTTTCTTCTCCCTCACTTTCGATAATTTCTTGTCTCTCTCTCTCATCTCCCTCTCTCTAGGATATTCAATTCTTTTGCTCTTACTAGTGGTTAAAGCATCCATTTGGAAAACAATTTGCATCATTGCATTCCTAGTACGATACTCTCACTTTTAATTGGTTTAATTATTCAATTTTTGATGAAGAATAAATATTTATGTTTTTTTAGATAGAGTTGTAGGACGGGAGATTGTATGACTGAGGGAATGGAAGTAAAAGTCTTTCCCCAAACATGATTATTGTTTGCTGTGGGACTGTTTATGAAGATTGTAAATTATGCATGTTATGAAGTTACAAGGGGATGCGTCCTAGAACGGTTTATGACTGAGATGTGTATATTTATGATTTATTTATTAATATATTTTTATATAAAATATAGCTTATGTGTGAAGAGAATGTATATTTTTGTATTAAGTGTTAATGTACATAAGAAAATGTTATAAATTAGGAGAGATTTTGCTGAAATTTACATTAGAATTTTATGTAATGTAAAATAAAATGTTGACATAGTATTGTGAACTTGTATTAAGTTTATATAGTTCTTGATCGAGATGTTTCTTAGAAGCCTTTCATAGATGATGATAGGTTGCACCCAGGACAGAGGTAATAAAACATGAATTCTATGAGGGTGTTGAAGAATTTATATGTGTTTGTTGTAATTCGTAACAATTCATTACTGACTAAAAAATTAGGTGTCCATGTTCTAAGTGCAAATGTAGAAAGTTTTTGCATATTGATTCAATTAGGTATGATGAGTATAAATTTGGATATAAACTTGATTATTAGATATGGATTGAACATAGAAAAATAGTTAATATGAAAAATCAGTTTGGAATGGATTATGTTAGAGGCAGTTCAAGTATATTGCAATTAGGTGAGAATATAGGTAACATGAGTTGGGAAGAAAGTAATGGTTGTTATCAAGAACTTTTCATGATTTTGAAGCTGAATAAGAATCTAATGGAGAGGCTGCAAGGTTTTATAGCCTTTTAGAGGCAGCAAACAAGTCTTTATGGGATGAGTTTGTGCATTCAAAGTTATCATTAGTAGTAAGAATATTAAGCATTGAGTCAAAAAGTAATCAGAGCTCATTTCAATGAGCTCCATTAATTAGTGAGCTTACTTTCCAACTTGACTAAATCCCAAAAGACTTTTACCAAACAAAAAAAAAATTAGTTTCCAAACTTGATTTAAAAGAAGTCAAAATTGATTATTGTTTGAAAAGTTACATGCTTTATTAATACAAAGACAATGCTGTATTGACCAATTGCAAATTTTATGAAGAACCTAGGTTTAAACCAAGAAGAGGTTGTAGAAGTGGTAAGTATAAAGATGTACCACAAACTAGAATGCATTATTTACCTTTATTAAATATTTTTTTAGGCTAGTATATAATTATTTATAATAAATTGTAGGATGACTATCTTAAAAGGCTTGAAGAGGTATCTTTTCATAACCCAGAGTCCATTGATGAGGATGCTATGTGGTTAGAAAGGGTGGGCAACCTTTACAAAGGTCGCATCTATAGCATGGGAGCCGCTTTATAGACTCAATATCTCCTACATTTGTCACCAGAGATGCCCTTTCTCTTGCACTTGAGAAAGTGAAAGACACGGTTTGCACTCAAGTCCATGTCCTACATGAAGAGCTCGAGAAGCAAATGAGGAGATGTGGAAGACCAAGAAGAGTGCATAGAAGAAAAAGTGAGCCAAGAAAATAGAGAAGATAGAGAAAAAGGTGGCATTAAGGATGGAGAGGGAGGTGTAACAGTAACATATGCAGATGAATGCATACTTCGAGCTCATGAGAACAAACAGCTCCACACCTCTTCCACTACCCGTCTTTGTCTCAATGCGATATTCCTCCTCTTCTATTGATGATGATGTTCCTACCAATGATGACCACAATGACTACTTGTGATAGACATTACTTTCTTTTTATAAAAAACAAAAGACTAAATCTCCAAGATCAATGAAAATAATTAAATTAGTTATGTTTTTCATAAATATAAATTTTATTCAAAAAATACTCACGATATTAAATGGTGTAATTAGTAATTTATATATTTAATGATGTTAATAAAAGAATGGTATAAAAAAAATTTAATAATTAATGCATCTTGAATCTATCATTTGTTTCTTATAATAAAGATTAAAAAAATGCTCCATTTTATTTTTTTTATAAAAAGAACCGAAAAAAGTATTATTTTATTTTTGACATAATTTCTTTGAATATTTGCTTCTTTAATTGTAATGACATTTTAATATAATAGTTTTTAAATAATTTTTGAATTTTAATTTAAAATTTTATAATTTCATTATATTACAAATTGTGATAATTAAAAACATCAAAGAATAATTATGTAAACAAATAAAAATAAAAAATAAAAATAAAAATAAATATTACAGACAGATTATAGAGAAATTTATCTGTCTGTATATAGACAATTTCAAAAATTTATTTTTATTTATTGATTGAAAAAATTACAAACGACTCTTTCATTTATAAATTTATCTATAAACTTTTAAAATTTCATCAATAAATTTTTAAAAATTTATTTATAAATCCGTATATAATTTGCATACTTTTAAGTAGTAATCATGAACTATACTAAACGATATAAAAGCATTATTAAATTACACAACGAAGTATTGATGCAATATGAAAAAACTTTTGCATAGTCTGAAATTACAGTAGTCCCAACCAATTAAAAACTTACACAAGTGAATTTTATAAAATAATTAACACATAACATAATGTGATTGGTTGTGGACTCGACCATTAAATAATCTCTTGTACATATACAAACTTTGTATCTTATACTGCTTATTTTAATTAAAATAACAATATTATGAATGATACTTTAACATGATAACCTAAATTATTATTATGCTTCAATAATGTCAAAAATAATTACTAATTTAAAGAGTAAAGATGATATACGTATACAAATTAAATAAGAAAGAAAACAGGAAATATATAAAAATAAAATGGAGTATAAAAAATAAAATAACAAAAGAATTTAACAAATTTTTAATATTAAAATTTTCTCGTTTATTTATGTTTAGTCTCTGTGTATATATTTAGTGTCTATTTTTTCAGTCCATATATGTTTTTTTATTTTCAGTCTCTATTTTTTATCGTGTTTTCTAGAACATTTTTAAGGATGTCAATAAGACTATTTGTCACTTTAGTATTTTATTAGCAAATCATATATTTTGATAGATATATGAAAAATCTAGAGACGTGTACTTTTAAATATTACTAAGGGACTAAAGATAAACCCTAAACCCGCAAGGACAATTTAAACAATACTTCAATGCGGTGAGCCCAATTGACCTACGGAGTTCGAGTGAAACTTGGATTA